ACGAAAAACTTGTTGAATATTTAAATTATCCCTGAAGTAATTTATAATCTTGTACAATTAAGTATATTTCAACCATATAATATATCTGACATTTATATTATACACCTGACATTTTTATCAAAACTTGGATACGGTAAACCCATTCTTTAAAATGAAACGGTAGAAACGAGTGGTGTGATTAAAACGACAAACAATAGTACAAAAATAGAGGTAAAAATATTCAGACCGTTTACAGTCTGGTTTAAAATTTCTGTGCAGTATACGTAACTTTATTTCAGTCATGTTCTATATTGTCACATTTCATATAAATTCAGATTAGCCGCAATCGAAATTGAATCGAGATTTCACCGACCGCAAATAAAAAGAATTTAGGCTGATGTCAAGTTTCACGCAATAATTTTGCTGCAAATCGGGATCGAGGCCAACAGACTACTCATCGCGAGAGAAAGAGAGAGAGAGAAAGAGAGAGAGAGAGAGAGAGAGAGAGAGAGAGAGAGAGAAAGGGAGAACAAATATACGTCATGATCCGAAAATCTAATTGAACTAAATATGATTTTTTTCTACTGTAATTAATTATGTGATCTAAAACAATTGTGTGAAAAGTGGTACGAAAGTATTGATGCTAATATAAATATAAGATTGCAATGTATCACAGTAAAGTTCTAGGTCTGCTGAATGAATAAAATGTACATTAACGTTAAAATGTATTTTATTCATTTTTATGCCTTAAAATCATTTGATAAACCTAGAACTTCAGAATGTACATTTTTGTAGTGCGATGTATTAAACTCTTATTTCTTTTAAACAAAGAAATGATCTAATATATTAATTAGTTAATATTAAAAAATTGATTATTATAAAGAAATGTTTCAAGTTCTTTTAAAATCATAAATCATAAATCATAAATTTAATAATTAATTAATTTCTTTTATTGCTAATATTTGCCAATAATTAAATGTAATTAATAATAAATAAATAAAATTATTAACGCAATAATTATTGAATTAAATATAATAAAACGTAAATTTTAAATTTGATTTTAATAAGTTGTATTTTCTTTTTGTATTTGATACTTTTAAGGCTAAATAGCGCGCACAATATTATGTTTCAGTAATTTAAAATATATATTTTTTAGCGTTGTAAAACAATAATATCGTACGTTATGCAAGTAATTCTCTGTTTTTTAATTATTTTTAAAATTAAAATATATAAATTGTGTAATTAGATTATTTAATGTATGGCATTAGAAGCAAGTTTGTGCAAATTACACTTGAAATATTCTGACGTATTTTTTTATATAAAATTGTCAAGTTTTCAGGTCTCTAAAATTTATGTTGACTTTGTTCGCAACTTCATGGTACCACTATATCATTTAGATACATATTTCGGTCTACACAAAAGATTTTATTCAGTCAAACTTGTATTTCGGACTATTATATTGCGATGTGCTACGTGACTTTGCACGGGAAAAGGGAGCAACGAGCTCGCGCGTGTGAGTCGATTGAGTACGTTCGCCTCGAAAAGCAAGCGCGATTTCCACGAAGATGTAAAAAAGAAAAGTGCAGGAACAAGCCGCTCGGAAATAGCCGCGGTTAATTTTGCGCCCGCTCCATGCTATAAGCGTACATCATAGAGGGTTCGCGTCTGTTCATCGTCTGTTCTCCTTCTCGTTCTTCGTTGAATCTTTCCTCTCTTCTTTCGTCTCTCATTCTTTCTCTTTCTCTCTGTCCTCTCTTCTCTTTCTGTTTTCAGCGCATTTTCTATTTTTTTGAAAAAAGTAATGCTTTCTCTCTCGAGAATTATGGCAGAAATTGCAAATACTACAATATTGATAAATACGGTAAAATATGATCAATGTTATGGACGTAATAGACAGCTTTACTATTCTCTGTATACCGTTACATGTATTATATATTACATGTATTAATACGTAACATTTCTATGTTTAAACATAAATTAATTATTTACAATAAATCTATAATAGTTATAATTTATTAATAATTACATTAGATAAATTATATTTCATTAGAAGCAAAATTTAATAAATTAGCAACACGTGCGATACGTTGACATTTCGGAATTTTAATCATTTGAAAAGTTATTGAACAAAATAATCGAAAGTAATTGGAGATTAATTAAAAGCTACTTTTGTGGTAAATGAATATGGTAAATCGATAATTGTATAATTATATTTTAGAGTAATACTTTTGGATTAAATTTGTCAAAATTGTCAAAATTGATAGCTGTTAGAATTAATAGCTTCAAAAACGTTAAAATTTGTTATAGATTAAGCTTGATTACTTTCCCGATTGAACGCGTTAGTGTTATTAAAAATTTGATGTGAATGAAATACGACCAAACTCAACACAGTATCAAGCTATTGTCTGTGAAAATTGCGGATTCGACGCTGAAATATCGCACTGATTGAGTGAGCATTTCACGTAGTCACAATAATTAAAAAAGTGAAAATCTTTTTGTGGCATGTTAAAAATCAATAATTTGTCCCCGCGAAATGAAAATTGCGGTGCGCTTGCGCATGAAAATTATTTCACCGATTTCCGCGATATTTATTCGCACTGCAGTGCGATCTTGCAACCTCAAAATGTCAGTCAGTCTCCACTTATTTTCATGATACTCCCGTCACGCGCCGTCAATCGGACTTGTTCTGAGCGTTAATCCCATTATATCCCGTTTTATGCATGATTTTATTGAACTAATTATCTCGTGAAAAATACGTTTCTTCGTTTTCATTCGAAACCGACTCAGCTTTTAACTTGAGACATCGTGTATCTCGGAAAAAGTATTACATTTATTAAAACAAATTGATACACATGTATATGACTGCTCACTGTTCACTGCTATGATATATTTCGCAGAAATCGTCCCAATCTTGCATTATTATTTGCTTTGATCTTTTTATATTGCGCGCTGTTGAATTTGCGAACGAATTTGTGAACAATATAAGAATTTTATTTCATGATTTTAATTTTATAAAAATACCTTCTATCTTCTCGGAGCTTTTTGCAGTTTGACAAGCTAGATGTTTGATGTGTTGCGGATTCCATCTTTCTCATTCAGCGATTTTCAGTATGCTTTATATTCAAACGATTGAGAGATTTGTCATTCCAGCTTCTGTTTCTTTTTTTTTCTTATGTTTTTTTCTAATTCTAGGTAAGTACATATTTGTCAACCCAATCGTGTCTGACCGTTAACCTCTAGTTTCTGGCAACTGAGCGTACGGGATTTCACATTGCGAATTTATGTCGACATTTCGAGGAATATTTTGCGAGTCTCCAAATTGATTGAAAAATACTACAAAAAGAATATTTCAGTTTGGAATAAAACTACGATGTAATAACTTGGAATTTGTAAGCTGCAACAGTATTGGAAAAGTATGAACATTTGTATCTCTGAATAGCGCGGACGATTATTTGGAAAAAATTCTGAATATTATTTGAAAAAGTTTTTTTACTATTAATCGTGCTTTTCTTTCTGGTTTTTGTACAATATTTATTGATTATGAGTATATTTTATTTATTTATGCTAGCGAGATTTATTCTAAAGAGAATGCTAACATATAAGTAATTTATTAATTATTGTTATGGCATACTTTTATAAAAATAACACGTAGTATTTTATATCTAAATATGAAATAGTAAAGTAAAATATATATTGAAGCTTGTAATGCTTCGTTGGAAACTGCTGCAAAAGATAAAGCTGTCATGCTAATAATAATTGATATAAACTGTACAATAATTTATTAATTTTTTTACTGAGATTTAATTAAAATTTTTATTAACATTCCGAGTTGTCTGAAAACTAAATAATTATTTAAAGTTTTCTTATTGCCGAGCAAATATAACATTTATATGTTTTCTCTATATTAATATATAGGTATATCATTTATATGTACATATGTTGCATAACTGATATTTGAAATTGGAAGGAAAACGAACCAGGATGATTGCGCTACAGAAAAGCAAATAATATAACGTATTTTGTGTTTGTGAAAACATAAATAAACATTAAAATTAAAGATTTAAAATTAAAAAAAAAATTTTTTTTATTAATTATACTATTTCTGTACCGTAATTATTTAACTGTTTATTTTTTAAGACCAACACTGCTAATTCTGGAAAAAAATTCTAGTCTCGATGTGTGTGTTTCGAAGTTTACAATACTTGCTGTCTGTTGCTTTATGTTTCTGGCGCCCATGTTTGACAGAAACGTTCGTTATTTATTACACCTTTTGGCAGTTACTGGATATCATCTGTAGAACCGTCCAGCCGAAAAGAATTAGTTAGGACAACGACATCCAAACGACTCTCTGACGTCATCGACGATGTTTCGTTAGCAAGCTAAAATCAATTCGTCGATGCTCTTGACAAGCAATCCGCAGACACATTTAGAGGCAAATGATCATCGGCTCTCTCTCGCACGTGTTTGCGAGAATGTTTTTTTGCTCTGGTAGTTTCTCTTGAAATAGGTTTATTTGTGGTTTTTTTGATTATTTTTTCACCATCGCATTTATTTTGGTGCCAGCGAGAAAGAGATAAATGACTCGGCAAGTTGTGGTGCTCTACCGACTTTTTGCTCATCTTTTTTTACCTGAAAGTAATAGCAGCGCATGGTGCGAAAAGGGTAGCAACTAAAGTATGCAAAAAGTATGCATTGCATTGTAAATAATAAAAAACAAATACATTAATACAGTAAATGACACACAAGCTTTTAATAAAATAAAAATTTATTTAATTATCTATTTAAAAAGAGACACATGTAATAGATATTTATTATTAAATTATTAATTAGGTAATAAAATTATTAATTAGGTAATAAAATGTAATATTTCTCACAAACTATCTTTTTTATTGTGAAGAAAGTATAAAAAATTTATTTTGGTTTTAAGAAAACATTTTTTATTGCAATATTGAAAATATCCGCCAAAAAAATATGCTTTCTGTGAAAACTGTTCGATATATCATTTTTTATTCTTATTACAGATGTGCCGAGTGAGCAATCTGTTTTCGTGATGCTGAATGGGGAAGAAAGCGAGCTTAAGTTTTTAAACATCGCCAATCCAAAGGTAAAGAATCGTCTCTCTCTTTATAATAGATTTGTTGATTGTGTATATTTTGTCATAAATTTTATGACATAGAGCTAGTAAAAATTATTATCTACACTGCTATTTAGTGAATATAAACATAAAATTTTTGCATTAACTGAATATATTGGAAAACACAATAAAATAATAAAAATGACACAATTAAACTATATGAAATTAACAAGAAACAATGACAGAAATAAAGCAAACTAATTATGAAAAAGACAGAAAATTTGTTATGCATTATGTATTTTAATTATTAATTTAACTACAATTTTTTAACGAGATTCTATTATATATTCTACGTTCTGAGATTGACAGACAAAGTTTAGAATTTTCTTTTACCTTTATAAATTTGATTCGTGTACAGACCGAATTGGAAAAAATGCCGTTACCGGATGCCTTCGTCGTAATGTATTCAGTGATCGACAAGGCTTCCTTTCAAAGGGCCGAGGAATATCTCGCTCGACTTCACGATCAAGACCTTCTTCGTGGTAGACCGGCTATTCTGGTCGGGAACAAGGTCGATTTGGTTCGTTCCAGAGTGGTTTCGCCCCAGGGTAAGTGGCGGAATATCTTTCTCTTTTTTCACATATACGTTTTTTCACGGTTAGGCAGTTTTGTAGCGGTAACACTTTGTGGTATATCAAATTCTAGGATAAAAATAAAATTGCCATTTCTACGACATTCACACTTGTTCGGAATAATTAATTTTTTTGATAGCATAAAAATATAATTTGGGGTTATACAACCAAATATTTTATATGTTATCATTAAAAATGATAAATTTTGGATTTAGAAATATAAACCTTATCTTATAAAATACGAGAAAAAATTTTCAATTTTCTATGTTGTGATATTACTTTTAATATTTTAAATACTTATTATAAATACAATTATTTGCCATCATAAATTTCCGGATTGTACATTGTAGACGGAAAGTGCTTGGCCTGCACCTATCGTGCGAAATTCGTCGAAGTGTCGGTGGGCATCAATCACAATGTCGACGAGCTTCTAGTCGGCATACTAAATCAAATCCGTTTGAAAGTGGTCCAGGGTAACCAAGAGAACCGAAACAGCGGTAGCGAAGGGAGCGGTCATTGGTACAAGTCTAGAGGCGTTGTGCGCGCAAGCATGAAAGCTAGACAAATGCTCACTTGGCTCTTCGGCAAGGAGGATAGCAAGTTTAAGAATTGCGAGAATCTTCACGTACTTTAAGCAACAGCGATAAGAAATTGGAGTCAGGCTATCCGACTTCTGTTTTATTAGTACGTAAGTATGATGTGACTTGGAAAAAGCTTCTTTCTCGAACGGAATTCTATTATTATATAATTTGCGCTCGTCGAGAAATTTTTGTGCGTTTGGAGAAAACAAAGTAAAAATTATGAGAATGTAGTTTGAGTGGATGAAACGGATGCGTATCTGAAACAATACGTAGTTTAAAGCTTAGAGTCGAACGTCAAGTCTTCGCAATCAATAGAATTTATGAGAGTATTTCGTTATCCTGTAGGAAGTACGAATGGTCCGAGGACCAAAATGGATACAATTAGTATGGGGTGAATAAAGTGCCAATTAGTGCAAATTAACGCGAATGGCGTTTAAGGAGAGGTCTGAAAGCGGAGAAAATGTCGCTGGATTTCGCGCCCGTTCAACTAGAATTACATAGTGAGAAATGTGAATGATTAACCCTTTCCGTTTCAGATGCAAGAAGGTATCGTTTTTCAGCAACTTCCTTGACATAAACTTTGTCTTCCTACAAAACCGTTTAATTCTTTTTTGTGTTAAAAAATTAAGCAGTATTATCAAATTATTCGCGACACTTTGATAATTTATATGCCACTTTTTTCTAGATATTATTGGTTGCTGACATTTTATGATCGATAGTAATTATCGTACAATTTTCTAGTTCCATACTTATAATGAGCGAGCTCCAGCGAAACAAACGCTTACATGTTACATCAACAGAATATAAAAACTGGCAACAATCAAAGATTAACAATGCAATCAAAAGTTCAAATCAATCGTGACGATAAGAAAGATTTAAACTGGACCATGGCGTGAACCTGTCGCCGTTAAGTTTACGACCTTATTGTATAATAAGACCAATTACTTAATCTTTTTATGTACATGTACATAAAAATAGTATGTACATATATATACGAAACTTACATATAAGCGTATACTTGTGCAAGCATGTTCTATACAAATGTACACACATGTGTATTCTTAATCTCCCGTTGACGAGTGTCGATTCTACCACGTGGCGGCATTATGTTGTTGCAAACAAAATACCGCTGCTATTCTTGCATCATTAAATTGTCCTTTATCGCGAATGCGTTATTAATTTCTCTTGTTCAAATGGACTTCCTACAGTTTGTTATTGTATTACGGCTAACTTTATGCAATATGCTAATGTTATTCGACATTAAGTTTTGTACATAAAAATCGTGAATATATTTATTATAATTAGGTGAAATATATATAATGAAACATTATCAGTACATTATACGGTACGTTTTTAATCTCATGACAGACTACATATTGGAGATTGAGGATTGCAGAATTGGAGATTAGAATGCGATCAATAAGGTTACCTCAATCTTGGTCCACTTTGTCTTGATCAGTCTTGATTAATCGAATTCCAATCTCCAATTCGCGATCTACAATCTCCAATACATAATTTGATATGAGCTTTATGCTATTAAATCCACATATCGAGTATAAGATTTTTATCATTTTTATCGTAAAAAAGATAATTGCATTGAGTACGTTTATATTTCGATCCCAAACATGAAAAAAATTGTATTATACAACTGTGTATTAAATCATTCTTATTCGACAGTTATCTAATATGATATGTGATCTAATTCTATAAATTTCCAAATTAAATATTTTATTAATTACATTTTTTATATCTATTATATATTTTATACCAAATATTATAAGAAACCAAATAACATGTAATTTACTAATGCGGCATTTTGTGTACAACATTTTGTCGCGACGGAAATAAAATCTTTCGCGTCGCGCGTTTTCTCGCGCGCGATGCGAGAGAGCGCGTACTGTGTATCTAAAAACTATAGTCTTCTGCAGAGAGATATCCTTTTCGAATCTTTAAGGAGAGTGTCTATAAAAACTGTCTATTTTCTGCGACTCTATGCCTGTGTATCCGAATTATACGAATGTAGCATAAAATCAGAATGCATAAAGTTGTATACCCATATGACGGGAACAATGCGCCAATTTGACGTGCAACCTTGCTCTTCTTGTGTGAATATTTCATCGTCCTTCGGCTATATGTAAGAAAACTTAACGTTTCGGATTACAGTAGCAAATTACAGACTTCCTTTTTCTCGTTACATAAACGTTTTGAAAAGTGTTTTGACTCTTAATGATTCAAATAAAAATTAAGAATTTTCCTCCGGCATTCTTCGTTATCATCATCATTATCGTCATGCAATTAATCGATCGTTAGTGTTAAGTGTGCGAGATGCGACAAAAACGCGTTGTGTGAATTTTGTGTTTAAGGAGTTTATCCCGAAATGTCTCTCAACGAGAAGCCGAAGATTCTTATCAAGTGCCTTTGAATATTTTTGTAATTTAAGCTAACTTGGTGTAAGCCCCATGAGTATATCGCACTGTATAATCTATTATTATACGTATATCATATTATCGATATATTTATTTGTTGTTAATTTATCATGTTACCTGCGAGAACGCGTAACTTGGTGACGTAACTTTCCTTTCGAAGAATATACAAATTGTTCAGCTCTCATTTTAGAGCTCATTAAAAAGTAACAAATTAAAATAACAATGTAAGAAGCGATAAGTTCACGGGTTGTTTTGTCCAATTCGATTGAAGCTCTCGCAATTAAAGTTACGCCGCCGGTGAACTTCCATGTTCATTCGTGCCATTAGCATTTTTTCCCGAAAGTTGTGAATGTAATTTAGCATTAAAGTGTCATTGTGTCTGCTCGCTGTAATACGTGACGTGACAATACTGCCAGCCCTTTATTAATAAAATGCTGAGAAAAATTTCTGCTGCAACGATCCGATATCATGATGTAGAAGATCTGTTAGTTTTGACATTCCGTTTATTTTAACGTATAACAGTAAAAGTTTTTATGTGATGCATGAATCATGCCATGCCCATATTCAACAATGCGCACATTTGTCAATGTACGTAGATTTATGGATCTATAAATTTATTGATTTATACTGATGGTTGATGTATAGTTAAAAGCAGTATTGTGTACCAGTAAATTCCTGGATTAATTCGAAATTTATCACTATAACTTCTCTAAATAAAACATGTTAAGACATGATAGACTTCTATAGTTAGAGTTAATTTAAAATAAAAAAATATTTAAACAATTTTTCGTATGCAAATAAAGTAACAGAATTTTATATTTTTTTAAAGTTTCAAGAGATTTGAGGTTTACATTAATCAAGCTATTAAATATTACATGTTAAAAAATTGAAGCAAATAATAGTTTCTTTGATTTTTTATCTGCAAAAAAAATGATAATGAATTTATCAAAGAATTTAAGAATAATAATTGTAATAATACTTTATATTCGTCGGTACTGAAAATACTACAAATTTAACTATGCAGTAAAAATGAAGTGATCTATAAATCTAGTTATATACAAGCTAGCACGAGCTTCTTTTATTGTTTCCGCTATTATTATTAACGTTGCTTCTTTAACCACGCAGAGGAATTAACGCGCGTCATCCCTTATTGATCGCACGTCTAGTGTGCGTTTTTTTTCGGACCCTGCTTATTTTTTTTCCGAGCCAATATCTATCGTAAATCATTAGCGTCGCGTCATTTGGTTGATAAATATTCCCGCCAGACGCATGCGTTTTGCGCATTGATTATTTTGCTTGGTACCAGATATTGCCAGCCTTTGGCCGTGGCAGATTGCCATGCGACCGAGGATAACAAGTGCCGGTTCCTCGTAACGCTGAAACGCACCCTGTATCTGACAGTGCCAAGGAACTGTGGAGAATGTACTTAAAGGACTGACGAGAGATAAAGAGTGCACCTGGAAAATGCATTAAATTAGTTCAAGTTTTCATTAAGAAAATATAACGCTCCAGTTTCGTATATTAATGAAGAAAGATGCAAAATTGGATATTTCTAACGTTATATTTGTAACGTTATTGTTTATAGCTGTGTATACAAGGTAGTTACATATACGTTATATGCAAGATACAATAATTTATAGATTAACACATAATATATGAAATTGCACAGTATGATTTATTTTTGGCATTTGTTAACTGCGTTAATTATATTAGCATATATTGTATATTAATACAATATTACATTAATCAATCATATTTAATTAATAAAGTACTTTGTTAACATATTATTAATTAATTATGCTCTTGCATTTATATATTGAGTACATCACGATCTTCTAATATATTTTCTATATATTAAAATTTCTATATATTAAAAAGAAAAATGATAGTTAAACATTTATTTTGTTATATTTTACGTGTTTGTAATGTGTGAAAATATTTTAGATATTTTTAGAAGCCTTTGTCGATATCTCGGAAAGATATATTATTGCAATCCATTCATGGCAGTTGGAAAACCAACCACATGTAAAGAAGCTATACGGCGTTGGGAGGAAGAAAATGAACAAACGGCAGCTACAGCGACAGAAATAATTTTAAGCTTTCAGTGGCCGCCAATAGAAAAGATGGATAATGCATTAGCAACTTTGGCCAATTGTGAAAAACTTTTTCTATCAACAAACATGATTGAAAAAGTTGCAGGTAAAATATATTAATATATTTATTAATATCATTTCTAGTAAATAATAATATAATTAATGACATTAATCGTAAATTAGAACAGTAAAAATGCTAAAAAACAAACTATATTATGTATATATAAAGAATTATTTAGCCATAAAATTACCAACTCAATAAATTAGTTCTATTAAATGCATATTTTATAAATATTACTAAGATGTGTGCGCATTTTTTTTCATTAATTAATATTAACTAAGTAAATTATATCTTTTTTTATGTCAAATTAAAAATGCCTGTCTAAAAAGCAATGCATATCTCTTCTTTAAATTTATGTATTACATATACATTTGTAAAAGCAAAAAATCCTTCTTACTGCTCTTACTATGTCTCATATCGATTCATCAGCGGCTATTCATGAAACGATCGATTTATGTAAATTACGATACACATTTTAAACACCGCATCAGAATTGATGCATATTCGGACTTATGTCAATTGGTGCATGCATAATGCATATTAAAGCGGGTGACTGTCTCAATAACATGCAATGCAATTATAATGTAAATATGATTATAACTTTCACGTCATTGCGAACAAATTGTGCGAGGATGCGCATTAATGTCTTTAATTGTTGTCACCGATTTATTCACTGTGATTATGTCACTGTTCATTACAGTGTGTCATGTGATTTCCGGAGACGATAACTTGATCGTTTAATCTTGACAGTCGACAGACGCTTCTCCAATATCGCTTGCAATACCCTAACTTAAATTTTCTTGTAATGTTGTTTACTTATTTTATACTTTTTTATTAATTTTATTAATTGTTATAATATGAATTACACAAATTTTAATATTATATTAATTTGTAATAAAATTTTAATTCCGATAATAATTAGAACACATAAGAATATTGTTTTTTGTATAAATAGAATTTAAATCTTACAATTAGTCTAAATATATTGTGCTTTTTCTTTGTAGGCATTGGGACTCTGAAAAATTTAAAGATTTTGTCATTGGGTCGAAATTTAATCAAAGGTTTCGCCGGTCTCGAACCTTTAGGTGACACTCTCGAAGAGCTTTGGCTTTCTTATAATCTTATTGAGAAGATAAAAGGCATTCAAGTGATGAGGAATCTTCGTGTACTTTACATGTCTAACAACTTAGTGAAAGAGTGGAATGAATTTGCAAGACTACAAGAACTATCAAATCTTCAGGATCTAGTTTTTGTCGGCAATCCGTTATATGAAAGTCTCGAGGTATCATTTACTAATATGTTTTCTAATAAGTATTACAAAACATAAAAGTTTTATTTTGTTAGTAATAAATTTTTTAACATAATATACAATATATATAAAAAAAAAACAAAATATTTATATAGAAACTTTTCAGGTAGAGCAATGGAGAACTGAAGTTGCGCGACGTTTGCCATGTTTGGAAAAGCTCGATGGTGAACCCATAATACGAACGGAAGAGAATCCAGTCATGATTCAATCAACCAAGATTGACAGTCCGCTGGATGATTCACTTAATCAAGAAGCTGGCTAATTTTTTGACAGCACATTTTATTTATTTTATACGTTTAATTTATATCCTTATTATTTTTAATTACAAAAAATAAATAATTCAATTGTTTATTAAATGTGCACTAAATTATTTTTCTAAATTCTAAAAAAAAGATCTTTTTATCCATACAAGCCAGTAAATATTAAGAAATCAAATCAATACTATTGAAATTTATATCTCTCAATATCCAGCTTTGAAATATTAACAGGAGTAAAAAATATTTACACTCCTTAATGCTTAGCTTCTCAAATTTCTATTAAATATTAATAATTATTATTTGCATTAAATAGAAAAATAATAAAATTTTGCTGTCCAGGTGGTCAGTCAGAAAAGATTATTATTCAATCAAACGTACATTTATATTAATTTATTCGTCTCACGATACAAGATAGATCGTACATACTTTTTGGTGGTTGAAAAAGGTTGAAAAAGCAAATATAGTAGAGTTCGATTGGATTCGATGCACGAAATATATCGAAAATCGGACAGACGAATCTTCGAGGGTTGTTCTTCATAATCATTTCTTTTATCTTTTATCTCTTCGCATTTGTTATACAAGGCGTGCGAAATACAAAGGTGTGTTACGCAGGGCGTTTTCTTTTCTTTTGTATACGTAACAATGTGCGCTCGCGCGCGCGTGATACGTGCGTTAGATTAGAAAAAATTGACTTGTGTGCGTTCGATTGAATCCTTTCCCGTTTGCCTTTCCATGCCTTCTTCTATCTTCAATTCTTTACAAATCTGATTTGTTTGCATTGTCAATTTTATTGAAATAGAGTCGCGACCGCCCTTAGATATAATGCATTATATCTGCTTGTTTATTCTAAATTGTTTATATAAATTATTATAAACAAATAAATTTCATTGAACTTGCTTGGCATATTTGGCAAGACGGGTATGTTATTTTGATCATAATTCGTCGCTTCATGGCAATCTAATACGATTGAAATTTGGACCACAATACAAATTTAACATTAATTTAACATTAATTTCTGTTTTTAACCTTCCTTATTTTTTATCCAATTATTAAAAGCCAAATGTTGATGTTAGTTACGAAGAATTCGTCAGCGTCGCGTAGAAAAGTCGTACAGACATTACATATGAGCAAAATAAAGTCAATAAAAACATTCTTATGTTGAAGACGATACAGAGAACGCTTTCTGAACGAGAAATACAGTTGCTTACAATTTTCACTCGCAGTAAGTTTGAGAATAAAATTTGTTTTTGCCGAACCACATTTTTTTGTTTCGAAAAGATTGCAAAGTACAGCATTTGAAAGAAGCATTTTTGCTTTTGTCACATAAGTGATACGTCCAGCAAAAAGAGTCACGTTGACAGTTCTTTAGAAAGTGTAGAATTAAGTGATGAAAAGATAGAAAGAGGCTTTAGCCAATGACGAGTAAGAAAAATATTGTATTATCAACCTTCCGGTGCTCGATCCGTTGTCGAAGCAACGCCGAAGCGGCGCGGCTGCTTTTCGGAGAGGAAAAGCACGTAATTAGAGAATTTTTTAGAGCAATTTTATTTTAACTTGCATTAAAAATAACCTTTATCGTGACAATATCTTTAGAGAGAAAGAGATTAAAGCTCGATGTTCTTTTAATGTTGAGTATATTATTGAGAATATATTTTACTTCTGTTCAATAATTTGATTGGTCAATATCTTAGTAATTAATGTTATTATTCGTTGTACATTGTTCAGAAGACAGAACAATTTATGCATTTTAATAAATTTTTATGATTTTTATAAAAAATATCTGCTCTAATTTGAGAAAATAGTAAGATTTTTATTTTCCTCTCAAATTTGTCGCGAATCAATTCTGCGTAATTAAAAAAATTTCCATGAGCAATTTTGATGACTTTCTCTTTATATAGAGGTTGTTTGCGAAAATAATTCGATTCGAGGAAAGCCATCATACAATATATATTTATATTTTTATCATGGAAACTTCAATTTCTGTTCGCAATTGATACTCGACAGACGAAAGTCAAGTCGCGCAACCGCAAAGAAAAGCTATGTTCTTTCAGGCTATCCAGCATTTGTGCTTTCTCTCGGAAAATTCCTAAACGCTCGCAATTGCGAGAGTGACATACATAAATATCCTCCTTGTATAAAATAAAGAACTTTACGGTCGCTTCGGTGCTGTTTCGAGCTCGACGAGATAGCTTTTAAATATTTATCCTTAGTTACGTCACACCGACGTGTTTTACTGTTTCCGCGCGTGCTGCATCGCCTTGCTCTACATCTTTCCTTCGACACAAAAATAGTTCTGATATATTTTTCTTAATTCTTCTTCCATTACATTCTTCTTTTTATTCTCTTTTATTCTCTTTTTCTCTTTTTTTTTATTTCTTTTTATAACCAACACCAATTATATTCAACACGATTTACATTGAAATAGATCTGACAGATCTTTGGGATGAAGGCTAGTAGAAAGATAGGCAGAAAGGTAAAGTGCGTGAGAGACAGTGAAAGTCGACGATATACCGCAGGGATGGATTTTTTCCTTCTCCTTCTCTTCCTCGACCTTTTCCATTGACTCATAAGATTAGTATATGTCTTGATGGCGATTGCGATGCATCGCCGTTATTTTCTTTTCTTCTTTTCTCAGCGCGTAATGCGCTTAAGTGGTGGCGAATCGTTGTTTCTGCTTCTTCACAAAGTCGAGGGCCATTTTGTCGCCGATTCGGGTTTCCAGTATCTGAAGGATCGGATGATCTAGAAACGAAAAATACAGAATTAAACTGCACGAGAAATAAAGCATTGTTTTAATATAAAAATAAAGTAAAATTCTGTTTTGCGTTGCCATAAAATCTACATCTTTAAATATTTATAGATTTGCAGATTTTTAAATGTGTAAAAATTTATCGACATCCGAATATCCATGAACTGGGAGATTTGTAAGTCATAGTTTTGTCAATTTTGCCATTCGTAAATCCTACGTGAAATTCTATAACGATTAATTCGCCGCTCACTTCGATTTTTCTGGTGCATAAGTGGTAATTCTTGATGCTTGAGGCCGTGGAAGTTGTCTATACTGGTGTTCGTGTCGACGACGCCAGGAATGGTATTGAGTCCTAGGAAAGCTTCCCCAGCGAAATCGTTTGCCGTGAGAACATCGTGATCCATCACCGTGAAGAGAACCATTGCGTTAAGATCACGACATTGCTCCACGCTCACCGAACTTAAAATGAAGTGTATGCACATGTATTAAAATTACTTAAATGCCACTTATATCAAGATACTGTCTTAAAAAATGGATATAATAAATATTAAACTATGTTATATGTTTATTAATATAAAATAAATGCCAAATCAATTAACAAGCTTCTAAATATATTATTTGGAAAATAAAGATTAAATATATGACGTGAGATAATATACTCACAATTCAAAACATTCATCAAACATGGGATTTAGAGTTTTCTTTTTGACATTAGTCTGTTGTTCGGCGCAATGCTCGAACATGCGTCGTGGCAGCAATTCGATTATCACGAAAGGATCGCTAAATCCATTCGGGTCTAATGGTATCACGTCTCTGGCATTTATCACTTCGACGCAAAGAGAATCGTGATTCAGATAAGCCCGCACCGTCAAAACTCCATATTCATAGCTAGCTACGTTTAATTGATCCTAAAAATAAATATACTTAGTTTTGGGACACTTATTAATTATTTATAATGATTATTGCATATTTTACCAGAAGGCGTTGCTGATAATATCGATCGATCAAGAAGGTCGTGTCCATTTTATGATACTGAAGACGCTCTTCCGCGTTCATGAAACTTTGACGACGTAACAATTCCAGAGGCAAGCCTTTGTCGTCAGAGTTAAAGAATCTCACTAATAAATCAAGCGCTTCGTGCAATCTTTCATAAAACATTGCTGGTTTATCCTGCAAATTATTTTATTGTTTATAATTTAGTTTATAAATATAATTTAGTTTATAAAAATATAATTACCTCGGCATTTCCATCCATTTGATTACTCAATTCACTAAGAATCACCTCCCAAACATCTTGGAGAATGCGATTGAAATTCGCGACGAGTAGAGCTGAATTAAGTGCCACCAAGTGAACATCTAAATATTCCACAAGAGGTGCTATGGCCTCTGTGGTCGGTAAACTGTCAGGAGACCAAGCCAAGTGAAACATCGCTTTCTTTAGAGGTGGTCTCATCTGTAAATCAAATAAATAAAATTATTTGGAAAATTGCAAGCAACTATTTTGATTTTCCATGACAAATGTATTCTCACTCGCATGTTGTATAATACAATACGAATTATGATCGCGTAACTTTACAGTATACGTTTGCTAGCACAATCATTGATGGCCACAGCGATTTTATCAGCAACAATAATTATACTCGCAGACTAATAAACGCTAGCGATAATTTAAACGTAAAAAGTAAATTACACTGCGCCGACCTGGTAACCTTTTTAAAAAATAACGAGTTGATTGATTTAGATAGCGATAACAAAAAATATATATAATATTTATGTATAGAATATATACATATAACAAAGCTATAAATTATACAACAAAAAGAATTATAATTGCGTCACTTTAGAAATCCAATTTAAAGCTTAGGTAATTTTTATTTTACTTCATTTACATCCATGTCGAATTTCTCATACCTTCGTTCCGATTCGCGAGACTATCTGATTTATGAAGAGCAACATTTGCCCAGGAGTTTGCTCCAACGGTGTTATTAAAGCGTTTCGCCACTGTATTCGAGCAGATTCACCGGCTTGATTTTCCAAAGCCGTCAAGATTTGTTCCACGCGTAGTTCTTCGCCCAAAGTCAACAGCCATCTTCTCACATATTCGAGACCGTTGATAGCTACGCACATCTGAAAACAGAGTGAATTATCAGTTAATAATTAAGCATCAAATTCACAACTTGTCAAACCGTTCATACATTTCACGTTCACAGTATTTTCAAAAATGTATATCTATCGCTATTAATTTTACAACTCTTTTAAAGACGGAAGAATAAAAAATACATAAACTCAAGAAAATTCTAGAATTTATAGATTTATTAATTCTACGATGCAAAAACATTGAAAAAATTTATAGCCCTGATTATTTCGGAACATACGTATAAATAATATATAAATTTTGATATGCTTTTTACATAAGCCAGCGCTAATAAGTATACTTATGCTGTATAACGTATCATGCTTCGCTTGTCGTGCAAAGTTGTAACTGCATCTAATATCTGCAGCACGAGTTGCTTGACAAAACTATTTCGCGAAGCGGGAACTACTGTTTATACTAAGCGAAGCAATCTCTACCTGAGCGATTACCTCATCTGTGGTCTTATACGGTGTATGCTCTTCATAATATCCGCTATCCGCCAGCTTTTGATGCGTTATCTCTGCATAGTAAGCCGCGGAACTGCATATCGCCTATGGCATAATTATGAGTTTACACACTATGAGACACATTCAAAGATGCAGATAATCTTATTACATGTTATAAATCATTATAATTCATTTCCGTATCTATTAAAAAAGGCAAGTTTTAAATTGATAGTAAAATTTTATAAATTACATATAAGCGATATTAAGTATTGCAGAATTATTGAAAATTTGTACACAATACTTTTGTCCAAATAATTGATGTAATTTAAATGTCAAAGCTATTAAAGAACAATTGCGATTACTTACGTCAACGACTTTTAACACAAAGTTATAAGATCCAACCTGATCCGGCCACGCCAGTTTCTTCCAGAATTCTTTAATCTATATATTATATTAATAGAAAATGTATAATATTATAAAATCAATTTTATAACACAATAGTAATTATTATTATTTTTCATTATTGTTTATAATTCAATTTAATTTTAAAAATAAAGAAATTTGACAAAATTACCTGATAAAAGCACGCGGTGGCGTCGATCGCCGATGTACAATGCTTAACGAAATACTCCCCAGTGCAGATCCGATCGAGTTCCGCGGCTCTTCGTACTCTTTGAATTGCCTTGAGTTTCGCCAAATCCAGCCATTTGTCGATAGCTGGTCTGAACCATTCGTGATATTTGCAGATCGCCAAAGTTTTATGGTCCGATTGCGGTAAATTGTCCTTCATGCTAAGTAATGTAAACATTATTTAAAATAGTTGTATTGAAAAGTATTTTAATGTTATAAAAGCAAAGCATTATAAGCTACAATAAAATTATATTAAAATAATATGTCAAACATTTATTCTAAAAGATAATTTTATGTAAAAGTTAATTGATATAACATTAATGAGATTTACGTTACGAAATCTTGGAGTGCCAGATAAAGCTCGAATATCGGTGTCCCTATCTCGGCACCGGGTGGCAGAACATATTCTTCGTCTCTATTTTGATGCAGTTGTAGACAAGCAGTAGTGACTCTTGCACCAAGCTCGTTATGCATCTGCGAAGGCGAGCGTTTCAATTACACACGATTTCTTTAATGATACAGTCAATCACTCAAGCGGAGAAAGTATTACTTCTTATATATATATATTTAAGCAACGTTATTGTATTTTACGGTAATATTTTTGACACATCGCATTAAAATATGTCCAAATTACAATTGCGCATCAAAATTAGCTACTCAGATAACTATTATAGTTGAAATCAAGTTCTCATCGAAAAAAGAGGAAATAAATAAAGTTGTGTTAAAAAGGTGTACATGCCTTTTTGAAATACTCTGTACACAATCATATATAACAATTTATATATAATCCAACAGTTTGTCTAAACTTCAAATATTAAGAAACATAAATATTTATAGAATAGCTTCTATTTTAAGTCTAAATATGTATGTTATAATTTTTATTTTAATATTTATTTGTATCCAATACGTAATTATATGTATATGATATGTAAAGAGATATGAAAAAATAGCGATAAACTTTAATATTTCTTTGTACTAACTATTGTTTTATGGTTTAATGAAAGATTATGTCTTGATATCAATTAATTACAAAATTTGCCGAAACTAATTTCATGCGCTACCCTGTATATGTATAATCCAGTGTAGCAATTTGTTGGATCATGTATGCATCGCTTAAATGCCGCTTCGTAAATCCTAGAGGATTTGCGGTCTTGACGAAATTTGTATGTGAAGCCATTAAAGTTCAATCTTGTATGTCGCGGTAAATTCTCGTGTTGCATACGGGTCGCTGATGTGTGACGTTCTGCGACTTTACTCGAGAAAGAGGTCTCGAGAGAGACGCCGAATGTCGTCTGGTGATGTTGTTAACAGGGATAAACGGGAATTGCGCTCGTACACGCAACAGACGGTCGACATTACAAAACTTCTGGAGTATCTCGACGACAAACTGTCTGGAGAAGAGCATTAGTCGAAAAAAACAAGATACGCACCAAATGCTCGGAAAGTTTCAAGTATTCTCTCCTGCGTTGTAACAGTGTACAACTTACCCGCGAGAACTATCACAATAGTTTCCAGTTTCATAACTAGCGTAACATTTGGTGAATCAAATGCGCAGACAAAAGTGTAATTTTATTAAAAGCAAAAATCTGCGTTTAACTTTGATTTAATTCAATGCGATCGAATTTAATTCTCGATAGAACGAGTGGATGTGATTGGATCGATAAGCATGGAGCCTTAATCAAGCTTTCAACTTGAATTTTTCTGCGGAACAAATTCAACTTCAATCCTTGCGAAGGAAACTTTTGCGAGGGAACAGAGTTTTATGGCGTCTAGAGAATAAATTTAATCAAGACTTTCGCGAAAAACGTTGAAATTGAGGATGAGTGAAGGCATTCCTGGAAGTGCAAAAAAATGTAAATCACGCATCTTTGATATTCTTATTCACTTTACAAAATGTTAGTTTAATAAGAAAAATGTACTTTATACTGTTGGAAATCTTTTTATCTTTAAAATTTTTGGCAACAAAAATTGAATTATTTTCCAATACCAATTTAGATTTGAAAATATCTTAGCAATATAAATACCATATAAAAGAGTATTATAATAAAAACATATAATCGATTGTCAACCATATTATTTTACTATGTTACTAAATTTATAGTCTTGATTAGACACAGTAAGTTTTCCAAACGATAATATAATCTATATACAAGAAATTTGAACAAATTTTAAGAACGACAATTTTTGTGAAACTATAACCGTTATCAAATTCGCAACTAATGCGAAAACCATTTATACCGCCGTTAGAAGTAAATGCATAAAAGCAAATGAGAAGTGCGTCATTTGCTAAATTGGCGAGCGCATGCAATCGTTATGTGTCAAATGCAGCTGTATCTCACTAGTGGTCCAGATAGAAGCATGCAACATGCGATAATTTTTACTCGTAAAAATTACTGTATTGCAAAGGAGGAATGTACACCAACGGCGGGAAATAAAGGACCAACGAACGGTAAATTGCACGAGGCAGTAGTGTGCATCGCCGTCTGATCTGGCTGTAAGGCGAAGAAAATTCGACGTTGACTTGTGCATAACGGAAGAGCAAAAAAGCGCAATCATATCGCTGACGATTAGATGACACTGAAACGTGCATGTTTGATGTAATAATTAAGACGCTGAAATTGGCGCAACAAATTCCTGAGACAATTAAAGCGTTGTAAAATATATTTATGTATTGCTGCATATAATTGGCGCAAAACGCATCTCTTGATAATATCCGTAACGTATAGCAATGTCAAATGGAGTTATTTTAATTGGCACACTATTGCCCGTCCTGTGCAGTTTGTGGGTATTTATTTTGTATATATGTGTGTATATAGTTGAGAAAATGTGCTCTTTTTGTGTCAAAAAACTATGTATATAAAAATTCAGGTTCTATAAAGTCGCGAGCTTGGTTTACCAAACGAAATAGATTCATCATCTCGAAATTAATATATAAATAATATACATACAATAAAATGTATTCAGCAATTACTTATTAGTTCGACGACATTTGTTTTTTTAACTGCATACTCATACTTCTACTACTTTCATTATTTATTTTGTATATACCATAGTATAGCTATAGGATATATTATAGCTATACTATTTCACAAAAAATAAATTTTTCAATCAATAATCAACTCTTCAATGAATATGCAGATAAAAATACGACGGACGTACGACGATAATTTCGATAGTTTGCAGGAAATTCGAAGAGTTGAAGAGAGAGTAATAGTAAGGTGAGAAGAGAGAGACAGAAAAAAAGAAAGAGAAAGAGAGAAAGAAAGTTTAATATTTTGTGGTGGCGATGAAAAAAGTACCTCGGAAGTGTTCTCCATGTGTTTCGCCACGTGTTCCGCCAGCTATGGACAAACATCTCGTGTACAGTAAAATCGCGCTGACCTGATGGACACTTATAATTCGTTGTCGCTTTTTCTCAACCTGGCCTTCAGGTCACTGCGACTAGTTTATTTACAGCGTGTCCAGTACAACATTACTACAATTTTAATTATTTTATGATTCGTTTTTATTGATTTGTAAATTATCATTAATTGTACAACATAACGCACAGTTAATCTTTGACCTCTATTCAAATATCTTTATAAAAGTGTATAAATATATATTTGGGACACTCTATATATAAACGGTAATATGTATTGTCATTTCAATGCAAGGACGTCGACCGGATTTATTTATAAGTAATTTTAATATTCTGTTGAATTAAATGATAGTTTAAAATCTTCAATTTTTTAAATATACTTGGTGTTTTTGTTCTCAAATAACAGCTTTAAAAAAATTATGGGATCTTTTTTGTAAGCACGATCGACGTCTCGAATAAAGCGTTTAAAGCCAAACATAGCACATCCAGCTTGACGACACAGTGAATAAAAAATAATGATGTGTTATGTGACAGTGTGTCTTTGACGCGACATCGTTGCAAGATTACAAGTGAAAACTTATTTATATAAGTCTTTTATTGTCCGTTCACAAGGAACATTTTTGTCACTTGCATTCTTACCAGCTTTTCCAATTGCTTATAAACTGCAGAGAAATATGGCACACCATTTGTGCTGAAACACAAGTTTAATGTATCGTTAGACAAATTATTTGTCTTGTCAAAAAATATTTATAAATTATATGTATTAGAATACATTTGTCATAGTCTTCGCAATCTTCAAATTTGTGCAATAATGTTATTTCTCACAAAATATTACTAAACATATTATTAATGGATTTAAAGAATAATAAAAAAAATATTAAATAATTTAGTATACTTTTTTGGATTTCTATAGTCTTCTGATGTTGTTAAGTATACTATTTTCTAGTTTAAATTTTATATCGACTCTTGATGCAAATTCTCGAGAAACTTACCTTTCAAAGAGACAATTATAATATAAAAGTCCCTGTTCCAGATCGACCAATAATGCGGTTACCAAGTTCGTGAAATCTTGCAAAACTCGGTCGATGTCTTGATCAGGTTCCTGATCGTGACACATCGTTTGTTGTCTGGTATCTTCGTACCTGCGAAAAGCCAATTAAGTCAAATAAAAATTCTCTCTCTTTTCTTTACTAATTATGTTTTAAGATACTTTAAAAAAATTAATAAACGCTGTTGTTTCAATTAACATTTTTATAAGAAATTAATTTACCACTCAAGAGTTCCCTTTCTAAGAGCGGTGATGATCTCTCCTCGGATTTCCTTATTAAAGGGGCAACAAGTTCGAAAAGCCTTTGTATTTGATAGAAGTCCCAAGCATCTATATAACAATTATTCATATCATTTTATGCATTAATTACATCACTCAAATCTTGAAAAATTATTTTTCACCTACTTTTTATCATAATTAATTTTTTAATATTTTCACAATTACATAATATATTTATCGTTATTTTTATGAAGACATTGATTTACCTAAGCAAGTAATCCAGCTTCGATATAGTCGGTCTATGTAAAGGCGGATAGAGGACTCGATGTTGTCTGACCTTTTTTAAAGACACCTCCAAGAAATCATTGAAGGAATCCGCCAGACATTGTTCTGCGTCGCGCGACAGAGTTTCAGTATGCCATCGATTGTCAAGTTCCTAAATTTAAAATGCAATTTAAACTTATAATTATTATTTGTTACACATTATATATTAGTAATATTGTTGCGTGTAAGACAACAAAATGTAATAATGCGGTTGCTGAAATTACCTGCAAAAGACGATGAAGCATTCGTGGATCGACGGCGGATTGTCTGGAACTCGCCACCCACCTTATCACGGACTGCTGTAATTCAGTGACATCACCTTGCACCGCGTGTTGGTGTAGGATTGTCAGTGCGGTTTGCGGTAATTCTCCAATGAAGTCTTCCTAAAGAATACGCACGTGCGTATAAAAATATGCCTTACTAATGTTTTAATAAATGAATGATCGATAGTATTATCTCAAAACGCAATGCATATATTCTTTTTACATATATTAATTTAATAAAAGTACGATATTATTTTATATGTAATTAAATAAAAACAATTTTTCTTTTTTAATATTAGAACGCGGAAAAGTTTAAGGTTACTAAATTATTTATCTTTTATTTCTTTTTAGAATTTTAGAGCAATATTTATTTAAAATTTATAACACGATTTCATGTTACATGTTTAATAAATGTGAAAGCACGGTATACTGTATTATATCGCATGAAAATTTATAACGCTGTTACGTGAATAATCTATTATATAAACACGATTTCCACGTAGATCGGATATATTCGTGTTACACAATTATGCGTACCCCTTGTTTGTTCATTTCATGATTAAGGAAAACTGTGTACAGCCTTTCCTGTTGCCTTAGTTCACCCCAATTATCTTCCTCGGATGTTCCACGGTCCTCCCTCGTCGACAACCATAATTTCAGTCTGATTCTACCTTGGATATTACTCCTTTGTGTCCGTGCCTCAAGTTTGTACCACTGATCTACTCCAGTGCTCGGAATATCCTATGTAATCACCACATATGCTTGTATATATCTGTTCTACAACTTTAACTTTAATATGTGCATACCATATTTTCATACCATCCAATTATTGCAATATTATTTAAAATATATAATGCAAAAAAATGTTTACAAAATTATTCAATAATAATAATTACTCTGAATAACTAAGTTCAAAGGAGAATGTTAAAAATAAGTCGATTTTGGCCTATCGTGTGGAACCAAAACTACAAATAATTTCTTATAGATTTTATACCGTAAAATCACGTGGTAAAGTCCGTTTTATATCTGTGCGAAAGAGACACGTCTCGTGCAAAAGGAATTATAATATCTAATTGTCAATATAGCAGCGCTGTCAGAGCCATCATTGACGTCGTACGGTCAGAGAATAGCCGCCGAATAATTCCCTTGCTCTGTATAAACTCCAAGCAATTATTATATCTGTGCGAGAGAGACACATCTCGTGCAACAGAAATTATAATATCTAATTGTCAATATAGCAGCGCTGTCAGAGCCATCATTGACGTCGTACGGTCAGAGAATAGTCCCCAAATGATTCCCTTTCTTAGTATAAACTCCAAGCAATTATTATATCTGTGCCAGAGAGATATGTCTCCTGCAAGAGAAATTATAATATCTAATTGTCAATTTTGTACGTATCATACAGCAATGTACGTATCATTCACATATTGCATTATGTGTATTCAACACAAATCACGGCTGAAAGAAAAACATATGTCCACAAGAAAAAAGCTTGCACACTTCTGTTCACTCAAGTACATCTATAAGTACATGTGTTATTATACGAGAAATTGCATTTTTTATGGTCTTTTTCAATTTCTCCGTACTTTTTCCGCTGTCTAGAGGAAAACGGACTTTACCACGTGATTCTACGGTATAAAATCTATAAGAAACCATTTGTAGTTTTGGTTTCACATCATGGGCCAAAATCGACCTATTTTTAATATCCTCCTTTCTGTTGTAGGAGACGTGTCTCTGTTGCACAGATATAATTGCTTAAAGTTTATACTCAGCAAGGAAATCATTCGGCGGCTATTCTCTGACCGTACAACGTCAATGATTGCTCTGACAGCGCTGCCATATTGAGAATTAGATATAATAATTTCTGTTGCACAAGAGGTGTCTCTCTGGCATAGATATAAGAATTGCTTGGAGTTTATACTGAGCAAGGGAATTATTGGGCGGCTATTCTCTGACTGTACGACGTCAATGATGGCTCTGACAGCGCTCCTATATTGACAATTAGATATTATAATTTCTCTTGAACTGGACGCGTCTCTGTCGCACAGATATAAGAATTGCTTGGAGTTTATACTGAGCAAGGGAATTATTGGGCGGCTATTCTCTGACTGTACGACGTCAATGATCGCTCTGACAGCGCTGGTATATTGAGAATTAGATATTATAATTTTTCTTGCACCGGACGCGTCTCTGTCGCACAGCTATAATAATTGCTTGGAGTTTATACGGAGCAAGGGATTCATTCGGCGGCTATTCTCTGACTTATACGGGAAATTGGATTTTTCATGGTCTTTTTTTTCAATATTTCCGTACTTTTCCCGCTGTCTAGAGGAAAATAGACTTTACCACGTGATTCTACGGTATAAAATCTATAAGAAACCATTTGTAGTTTTGGTTCCACACCATGGGCCAAAATCGACCTATTTTTAACACCTTCCTCTAAATTTAAAATTTGTAATTATTTTTTTAATTTCAAATTTTATTTTTACAAGTTAAATTTATGAAAATTCCGCCCAGCGTTAAAATGCCAAAGTTCGATAATGATTGAATTATGAATAAAATAATTACCACTAGAGGAATGTTCACACAACCTAGAAAGTCATCTTGACTTCCAGTTCTAGCACTTTGCGCGATTTGTTTGAAAAATCGTCCGAGTCCTTTCACGCCTCTCACTTCATTGAGTTTGATTACCGCGTCGAACACCGAGGACTCGTCGTCGTGGTCCCTAAAAATTATCAGCGCAAACTCGCCTGATTAAAACTTTTACGTATTTATGTAAAAATTTTTATTCAAGTTGTAACAGTTATGTGATTAATTATCCTTTATCAAATAATAATTCCGTTAAAAGTTTTAGAAATTTTAAGACAATATATTAGCGAAAGTTTGTTTCTTTAATGCTCAAATATTGCTTAAAAAAATTGATTGAACACTCACCATATATCCAGATGGAGAATGTCCGTGCTGACGTCGTCGATGTCGCTGAAACAAGCATTGATGGACGGTTATGCGCGAGTACACAGATTTACACTATTTAGACTAATAAAGGATCGCCATTGCGAGCAGCAATTACAAGGGGGGGGGGGTCAAGCCCCAAAGTTTTCGCTTACAAACGGAACTTCTCGTTCCATCGCGGGCTCAGAGTGTGCGGCTTCACGGAGGTAGCTCGTATAAACTTCGCAGGTAAAGCACCGCTCAAGGATTCGCGGTGTTCCCGTCTGCTGTGCTCCTTGCGCTTAAACGAAAGCCTGAAACTGATTTTGAATAAACAGTTTACTAACCGTTGTCACTATTAATTCAACAATTCGCCCTAATCCTTTTCTTTTATCGCAACAATCGCTGATCATCAAGTCTTTTAGTTTAACTTTTAAAACAATTCAAAAAACTTACCCCTCTTCCGTTATCAAATACTTTATCAAATATCTTCATGACTAATTGTTAACCATAAATTTAAAAAAAACTTTTTAAATAGACGACAAGAGTATAAACTTATCACCGTACATTTAACACTTTAAAGTTTATATTCTAAATAAATTTACAGTAATTATTAAATTTTCTTAGAAACAATATTGCGCCTTCTGTAAACCTTTTTTCTTTATTTAATAAATTTTAATCTATAATGTTTATTGTAACTGCAATTATATTAATCAAGCATTTGATAATATTCTCACAAATCTATATTGTATTGCATTGCAACACTTCTACAGTGAAAATTTAATGCTAATTGACAAATTATGTCATCGTTGAGAAGTAGGACAGGGTTTCAAGTTTTCCTCACAAAGCTTCCAGATCTTCTATGCCAATGTGCAGCATGATACTCGCTGTCATAGAATCCGGATGGAATTTCGTGCAGTTGACGCAGCTCGTAATTCACCGCCTCATAGACGTCGCGCGTCTCACTGCGGTCCGTAATGTACTGTTCGCTCTTGTTGTCGTTGCATTAATCACTTTGCTTATACCACCAGATGGCGAACGTAATAATATAGAAAGATACACAGTAAAATGCTTGCTCTCTCAATGCTTTCGTCTGTTCTCTACCCGGAGAACTATGTTTGCCGTACAGAGAACTTGCTGTATCCGGCGCGTCCATTGTGCATCGCATCGCATTGTCGTAAATGCCAGAGTTAGCTTGAAATGCACGTATCATCGCGCGATACGCGGGTTCGTAATACGCTAGATTGGCGTATCCAGATTGTTCAGCTTTAATTTTCTATTATTCAGAAAGGATCATAATGGATGTAATATTGCGCACATCCTTTGTTAAAAGATAGATAAAAAATCTGGGACACTGTATCCGCTATTTGCTTGTGTAGAATTCATTTTTATGCATCAATATATAACTTTACTTGCACATCCACAAATTCAGAGATCTACATATATTCGCGATTATAATTCATATTTCAAAAAGCTAGAATTTAAATTAAATTATTTTAAATAGTATTATAATAAAAAATATTAATAACAGCAATTAGAATAATCTTAAATAATAATTATTATTTAAGAAACGTATATACATAAATTTAATCTACAAATTTACATATTTTTAAATTCCCAGATGTTATAAAATCCCGAACTTAAGATTCAATTTAAATTCATAGGTTTCACAGGTCTACATTCATGCAAGAAATCACCAGTTAATATTCTTTAATATTCACAACGTAACCTCATTTCACCTTTTCAGTTATGCACATTTTGCGACATTAATTGCTGTTCTCAGGTGTGCACTTATCTTAAGTAGTACGTCGCTGATGTTTCATCATGTTGCTGATAACGACAGACATGCGGCAATATTTTATGATAAAGGACAACTTCGAGAGAGAGCTAACACGGTCGCGTCATCAATATCAATAAGAGATGACGGTCTTTCGAGGCAGAAGATAATTCAAATCAAAGGAGGAAATTCGATTGAATATCTATGGCATTTATATATACTTCCTACAAGAAATAAAGAATAGAATTTCTCAGCCGTGAGCAGAAGCAGTTTTATTCATGAATAATTAACACATCTATCGTCAGACTAAGTTAAAATTCTACTAAATGTTTCTAGAATAAAAATCATATGTAATAAGATTTGCTCACACGTCTCACACTGCTCGTAATATAGTAATTGATTTGCCAAACAAAAATTGTAAAAATTACAACAATACAAAGCGTCTGCATTTTTATGCTGCTCAGCGCGAAAGTTTAATTGGCCATCTCTTCCGCGCTTTCACACATAAACTTACCTATGGTGCTTTCGAAGCTTCTCGTGGTGCGAGTTCTCGTTCTCACCGCCGTCGGACAGGGCGCGAGTTGTTTGTCTCGGGGATGCTGGGGGTGTGTGCGGTGAATGCGCCGTTAAATTCGTTTGCGGACTCAACGGCGCACCTGCGTTGCCGGGCTGTATTCCCAACATGCAATAAGGGTCGCTAAATCCTAAGGAAAATAGCAATATTCTTTCGGTGAAAAGGGCTTTATGTAGTCTCTATGTGAATCATAGATTTGCGGTCTTATTGTTAGTTCTATTCATTACGTTCCAAATTTAAAGAAACTACAAGTTTCAAGTTGCAAAGGTTTTTGTTGGTTTTAATGTTAATCTTTTCCCAGCAAAAATATACGGTAAAATCAATGTTTATCGCAGAGTTTAAATTTTCAACTATTAAGTAAGCATCTTGATAACAAAGTTAACGCAAAGCCTGAAATTAAAATTTTGTAAAAGCAAACTGTATTTTAAACAGAAAATTATGGTTTCGTTATTTGGTCGCAGAAAACTCAATTTCGCGGAAAATTTTTATTTTCAATTGCTTATATACTCCGAAAAGTAATAGCAATCCGAAATGCGCGAAACGGAATCAAACGGAAATTTTACCATTGACGTCCTTTGCCTCGAGTCCATCGGCTTCAATCACCACTACGCTTAACACAACGATAGGTGGCTGCAAAAATACATAAATCATGTTCCATTTATTTTTATTACAACGCCAGTAACGATATTTCGACGACATATTTTTCGCGGAAAAGTGTCACAGCAGTTTTGAAAGGAAAGTCAATAAATTGGCATACCTTTTCTTCTGAGGCGATATTGAGATATCGGCGATGTTGATCCGGCGGGACTCCGAAGGCTTCCTGGGCGTATCGATATAGATCCTCCTTGTAATGCGCGTATTGTCCAGTACTGGCGCCTACCGTGTTCGCAATCGTGTAAAGAACTTCTATGTATAATTGCTCTATCTGAAAAATACATTCCAATTTCTTTTTAATATTTAAGATGTAACAAAACATGCTATATATGATTAATATTTTTATTAGGAAAGATTGATATTTGATATCACATACTTTGTCTTTCATAAATTTTTAGAGAATATAGAATAATTATTGTTAAAAAATTAAAATCTTGCATGCATTTTTTTGTTATTTTTAAAAAGAAAAAAGGAGTATAATGTATTCAATTATAATTGCACTAATTAATACATCAAACAAATTATAATTGCAATAATTAATACAATCAACCAAATTTTACTCATAAACATATATTAGAGTATGCATTTGAATTTTAATTATCAGAATAGGCTCTCCTATAAAAAAAAAATCTTCAATAATAAAATATATTACTACTTCTTTCAGACGCTCTTTGCAGCAGAAGCTATTTTATTACACAATTATAATGATTAAAAGCAATTTATTCAGCGAGATTGCTGAAGCACAGCAAATTATTACGAAAAAAAATATATGGCAAATTCCGTTATATACATAGTGATTAAGTTGCGAGTTAAAGATTTCCTTTGTCTTGCTGAACAGCTGCGCTTCTCTATTCCCTTTTCACAGACAGTACAGTGTTCATTATACGAAGAAGAGATTACAATCTCATTTCACGGAAGATAGGGTATACCAATCCAAGAACCTTCGCGTCTTTGCAACTTGACTAAGTCGTGCCTTTTAGCTCGTTAACGCATAAGCACCATTTAATTATTATTTTATCGAGATAGTACAATATTAATAAATGTAAAAAGATTAATCATTTTTTATAAAAGTTCCACAACATTTTCAATTTGTAAGAGAAATTAATAATAATTTTCAAACAATTTGTTCGTTCATTAAAATATAGCTCTATTCGTTCATTTTATATTCCACGTTTCGTAACATATCGTATATTCAAAGCGGTCACAAAGAATGGTCTGTTTATGAATAATTACTGCAAATAAGTACAGTAATGTCAGCGGGGAATATTTCCCGGACCATGTCATATTCTGATGTTACAAAAAATTTTTTCTCGTTTTTCCTCTCGCTAACAAAGACACCGTTGGATTTTCGCCCATTATTCTCCAGAGCAGCACAACCTTTACGCTGCATCGAAGATACTGGAGGGGAAATAAGGATGAGAATTAAAAAGAACGGCAGAAACATTGTATCCGAAGAGAATAGAAAGGACGAGACGAGAGCGCTAAAATGATACGCAGAACTTGACACGAGGACGTCGTTGAAAACTCGCGAGCTCTCGTGGAAATACTATTTACTTAAAAGTGTTTTTCCGCTTGGATATTTATTTTGCTTGGGTCAAGAACTTGCGAAAATGCTGTGCGAAATTGTGCGGATATTTAGGAATTCATAACGACAGAAATTCACATACTTCACAAATAGCAAAAACAGTTTTATGATGGATAGATTCATAAATTTATCACACATATAGATTTATAAATTTTTGTCTTTATATATATTTTATTTCAGTAGAAAGAAAATATTCACAAGATGTGGTCCACATTACGTCCGAAATGCAAATCAAAATGTAAATGCGAATGTAAATCCGCAATTATTTTTATTAGGAGAAAAATTTGCATGCTACATTTAATATTAAGTTTTTCAACTTAAACTTATAGCTGCTTTTCTATAAATGTATATAATATAATCGGAATAGTGTATTTTCTATTAATTCCGTTAGATTTGTAATTGCGCGAATCAATAAATAGCAGCTAAGAAAATGCACGGACGATTGGATTTGAAATCGGAGTTTCGAGATTTAAAATCGGAACGTCGAGTTGGAAATACGAGCTTTATTCATCCGCTACTACAGTTGCAAGTCGAAATGACGATGGTAGAACTCTCTTTCTGCATTTGCCTGTTATTTCGATCGACGAGCGAACGCGTCCGTCTGACCTGTGCGCACTTTATCTACTTAGTATAATACTTCAAACGGAACGGACGTAACTACTCGTCCGCATGCAAGCCTGGTGCAATCAGAATGACGCGTGCTAAATGCAACAGCGCTATACCACACGCAATTCGAAAATACGGAAAATCTTACCAAAGCGTAAAAATTTTACCAAAGCTTGTAAAATAACAAATAAATGCAGACTAAAAATCGTAGTCTGCAAATATTAGCACAAAAACCATCAAACAAATTAAAATAACGAAAAAATGATAAGACAAATAAAAATTATATATTTTTATAGCACACATAATGTGAAAAAATATATCATATAAAAAAATTAAAAAAAGTTATATAACGGAATAAATTATTAACCTCTTTTTTACTAAGTCGATACGATTGCGAAGATGAAGTTGACTCTCTGGACGGCGGTGGCGGTTCTTTGGCTCTAGCTTCCACTTCCTGACGAACAACAAGTCTTCGATTCTTTTGTTTCCAAGATAACGCAGTGAAGCTTTCAAAGAAGGATCCATCTGTTTCTTGAACACTATAATGAATACATTAAAATCAATAATAATAATAATTTCTTATAAAAATTTATAGTAAAAAAATAGATTCGTAACAAATAAAATATTATATTTGAATTTATTAAGTATGCGTATATATGTGCTTTTCTCCGCTTTACTACCTGTCTTGCATTTATATTCGTGCAAACATTGTAATTCTAGATAAATGCAAATATCAAAATTGCATTAATAATAATGAACATTAATAAAGCAAGTGTATGTCGCCATTTGCATCTGTTATTAGTTAATAATAACATGAACAGTTTTTTAAGCGGATTCAGATTCAATTTTGTTATTTATCCGTTGCATAAACAATGCATTTCCAAACTAGCCTACATATAATTAAAAGACATTGTTAAACTTTTCTGTTTTCCCATGGCATACACATTTATAATGACTGAATATATACAATCCGTTTGTAAGTATTCGACAAGCGAATAAAGAAATTTTACGATATATCAATGCATTTTGTATAAATTTTAGTATGTTCTCATAAATAAAACCCATTCGTGCATCAGCTTATTACTCGGCGATTTTTTTTACCATCGCGTGTGTACCCGGTTTCACAAGCTCGCGAAAACTGTCGATTGCTATCGACCCTCCCTGCGTTGGAATTTTAACGTCATGCGATGTATGTGCGTTTTGAATGAGAGCGGCAAACAAGTCAGTAAGCCTCTTGAATAACAACTTGATATTTCGTTAAACCATGTGTCTATTTTTTCACATTTTATCCACCATCACTTTTTTGTAAATAATATTTGCTGTATCTAATATTAATTTATAGAATTTTATATAAAATTGTAACTTGTGATAACAAAATTATTAAAATCTAGTAATAAATATTTTTATTTGTAATCTTACTTATTATCTATAATTTTTTAGATAAAGATATATATTTATATATTGTAATATCTATTTCAACAATAATTCCATAAATATCAATGTGATAATCCTCCAGCATCAGGAAGAGAAATTAGCATGGTTAGCTTATCAGTGATTAATGTGATATCTTTTGGCTACCAGTCAGCCATGACTCTGTGGTCTCTGTCAGGAAATAACGTTTTCCCGTTAACGCGAGTTTGATTGCTGGAATCAAGATGGTCGAGCAGTCTCGAAAACGTGGGATTAACAGAGAGAGATTGTTACACAATGTGATGGCGCAAACCTATAATTGTTCCAAGATGATAAGGATCCTGGTAACTTAGTAGATATCGCAAGAACATGTTCCATGTGCAGTCGCTCGCAATAAGTCCACGCCACACAGCATGCTTCGCTATTTCATTTCTTGCACATTATCTTATACGATGTACAGCAGAAACCAAAACAAGTTCTTCGTAGGTAGAAGCGTTTAAATAAGCTACATTTTTTAATTTAAGATTTTTCTAGCTTTCTTTGTTTATGACAAAATTTTTCCTTTCCTTACATGTACAATAACCCTTATAATATTCAGTCAGCAATGTATCATTGTGTATTACTAGTGTATAAGCCGCTGCTATTTCATAGCTTGCTATTAACATATTGATTGCCACCTCAGGCCGTTGCAATCATTTCATTTTCTGACTCTACTCGCACTGTAAGAGTTCACAATCTCACATAATGTATTCATATCATAATGAAAAATCTTATCCTGCAGTGAGCTGTGTTTCAAGCCTGCATTGCAAGATAACACGCAAGAAAACCGCCAATAAAAACACCCTTTGAGTAAGATACAGCTTGAGACTTAAACCATTCGCCATTTACATAATGCACGATATAATACACCGATGTTTCCTTTTATGGCTTTTATAGTTCATAAATCAACGTTATTAATAGACAAAGCGACTTTAATATTCGAGACATTCTAATATTTTATAATTAAAAATGACAACATTATTAACCATTTTCCTTGTTAATTCAATTATAATAATTATGACAACTATAATTAATACAATTATAATAATTAATTCAAGTTTTAATTAAATCAATTATTCTGCGACACAGATGGCTCGTTTTGCGTATCATTATGTAATGGCTTAATTAAAACGCAAAGAAAGTATAGATTTATTTCGAATTGGAAAGACATATATGTATATACATCCAATGTAATTGATACATCTAGTTGACAGTTTCTGCAATTTCAAATGATATCGACATTGCAACTAATTCCAACATTTTTTTCTATATAACTTATATTATTTGTGTGGAGTTTCTATTGTCAGAAATATAAGGTCGAGATAAAGTGGCGGATGCGGAACTTAAATCAGGTGCACAAAGGCATATTGCCAAGACGACACGAAGAGGACAATAATACTGTCACCGAAGCTTTTTACAAGAGACTGGCAAACGCGCGTTAAAAGAGCTGTCTGCAACGAGGGAGAAAAAACGCTGCGGAAGAGTACAACAAGCCGTGGGGGCATCCCCGTAATGGAAACCGAAAGCACACCAACGACATTCTTCTTATCGTCATTCTAACGTCGAGAGCAGTTCCGCCCCGCTGTAATTTGATCAGTGTCGACTTTCCGTTGGAACTTTAGCACTCAACTTTCAAAGACCGCTTTGTAGATTACGACCTTTTAATTAAGGAAGAGAACGTAAGCAATTTTTCTCACATTAGTGCTTTTTTTTACTTACTTTAATCTATTAGTAAGTTCACATTTTTCTACTCTCCTTTTTATTTCCAAGAATTCCATAAATTTTGTAACTCAAATTCAGAAACAAAACCAAACAAAATTTCCATTATACATCTGTATTTGCAGTTTTAATTACTTATTCTTTATATAAATTTTAAAGTTTTTTTTATTCCATCATAAAACTTTTTATAACCTTTTTTTATTCAGAGGCAGAATGTAATATTTTAATACTTACTATATTTTTTATATTTTTATTTTTTTTTTTCTGTTAACAATTAATTCTAATGTTAAAAACTGATAAAGCATTCGATTTTAATGTATGTCTTTTTTTATTTTATATCATCAAATAAAAAAAAAATTTGTGCATGGAACCATGCGCTGTAATTAGACTTTACGTGTTGCACGACATTTTCAGCGCTGCAACTGATAACCAACCTGTAACTTGTTTAATTGTTATTTAATGACTTCTCTACTACTTGCTACAAAGTTACACCAGTCCCCTGCCGTTTTTCTTGAAATCAACCGCGCGGCGATAAATGAAGATAAGACCGAGCAATAAGATCCTTACTAAACGATAAAATAAAATAGCTTAAAACAAAATAAATCGCACGAACATTTTTGTATATCGTATCATAATTTGTTGATCCTATAGAAATGAATATCATGAAATATTATAAAATATAACAATTTTGAAAACATATTATCTCGATTAATTATTTGGGATATTAGATTATCTCATAAATTGTTTATAATGTTTAATTGTTTATAAAACTGAGTTATAAATATTTTTTACAGTTAATCAGAAAAGGTTATTAGTTGCTGTGTAAGTAATTAAACAAATTACTCATAACACACGATATACGAGTACATGGATCATACAGTTTTATATAACTATCAACGTATAAAATATCAACATAATATATTTTTAGTTTAAACAGTTTATGTAATACTATTTGTAAAACGTGCATTTGGAAAGAACGTTTATGTAATTAGAAATGTACAGTAACAAAATATTAATTATAAAAGCATATATTTCTCCATTTCAGCACTTTTGTTATGCTAAATAAGGCTTTTCTTAACGAAAGCAGCGCTCCTTTCGCTTGGCAAGGCAAGCAAGACATTGCAAAGCGTTGAAATAGGCGTCCGCTTAGGAGAGATATTCTACCTCTCGGGATTCACACCTCGTAAGTGGGCGTGAATATTTCACAAGGATTTTCTTAGTCTCAGAATCGTACATTCTAGTGAAGTCCCTTGTCTCTGGATATTTTTATCGTAGGTTCTTTTTTATACAGATTTCATGATTTATGCGAGTGAATTTTTCTCCTATTGTTTTTTTACCGAGAAAACGAAATTGTTGAATTATTCAACAAAACCACTCGACTAAAATGTTGTATAATGTATTTGTTATCAGCTTTAGTCTCCTTTTCGTCTCTTCGCGGTTCTCTTAATTTTACAGAATTCCATGCATCAAAAACAGTAGTAAACTCGCATAATTGGAATCCATGATAAAGTGGAATAGGCAAAACTCTCCGTTTGAACAGTCCGTTTGAAGAGGTTGGTGACTTCTTGTTCCGTTTTCTCTCATCAAGAATTTACATAATACAATGTACCGCATTGAAATGCAGTTGCAAAAATTTCAAATCATCCTTGTTACTTGTTTATAAATTCAGTAATCTACATATTTAAAATTTTACAAATTTATAAGACCTAGAACATTGCAAATATCTTCCCCTTAAACTTGATTGTAGAAAGTTTGTTTTAGCAATAATTTTAATAAAACCCTTGCTTTAGCAAAATATATCTTTCATAAAATTTTTATATTTTGATTATATTTTTAATCTTCGTATTTTTAAAATTATATAATCGATTTTTACATTAACTTTTGGTTACAATAACTTTAATCCTATAGTAACTTCAACAATCGAGAAGCATAATTTCTATTAAATTTTATTTATTTGAAATATATATATATTATTTTGTGTATAAAATTTCAGCTCTGAAATGATATTTTTCAAATTCTGTAGGTTGTTGTGAAATTTAGTAGCCGGAGATGCAGTGGAAAATGAGGGATGTTGCTAATGCAACATACACAATCTCTTACGCTTCTAAGGCAATCTTGACCTTGTCCGTGCCGAGTCAGATCCACAGACGAGAGAGGAAATAAGTGGGAACACGTCCTCGTTACGGTGGACGGTCAGCCCCGATATCGTATTTCAGGAGCGCGCCTTCTCTTCCAGCTTGTTAAGCGCGCCCCACTGCGCTAATTTATACAAAGCGACAGGGCCGTATATTCCGACGGATACGGTATTAATAAACGGCCCTTGCGTATCTCGGGAGGCCATCAGGGGTTGATTTTAAGCTCCTGACGTGCA